TCGATGTATTTGGAGGATCTCTTCGATGTATTTGGAGGATCTCTTCGATGTATTTGGACGATCTCTTCAAAGTATTTGGACGATCTCTTCGATGTATTTGGAGGATCTCTTCGATGTATTTGGACGATCTCTTCGATGTATTTGGAGGATCTCTTCGATGTATTTGGACGATCTCTTCGATGTATTTGGACGATCTCTTCGATGTATTTGGAGGATCTCTTCGATGTATTTGGACGATCTCTTCAAAGTATTTGGACGATCTCTTCGATGTATTTGGAGGATCTCTTTCGATGTATTTGGACGATCTCTTCGATGTATTTGGAGGATCTCTTCGATGTATTTGGACGATCTCTTCGATGTATTTGGACGATCTCTTCGATGTATTTGGAGGATCTCTTCGATGTATTTGGAGGATCTCTTCGATGTATTTGGAGGATCTCTTCGATGTATTTGGAGGATCTCTTCGATGTATTTGGACGATCTCTTCGATGTATTTGGACGATCTCTTCGATGTATTTGGAGGATCTCTTCGATGTATTTGGACGATCTCTTCAAAGTATTTGGACGATCTCTTCGATGTATTTGGAGGATCTCTTCGATGTATTTGGACGATCTCTTCGATGTATTTGGAGGATCTCTTCGATGTATTTGGACGATCTCTTCGATGTATTTGGACGATCTCTTCGATGTATTTGGAGGATCTCTTCGATGTATTTGGAGGATCTCCTTGAAGTATTTGGAGGATCTCTTCGATGTATTTGGGGGATCTCTTCGATGTATTTGGGGGATCTCTTCGATGTATTTGGACGATCTCTTCGATGTATTTGGACGATCTCTTCGATGTATTTGGACGATCTCTTCGATGTATTTGGAGGATCTCTTCGATGTATTTGGAGGATCTCTTCGATGTATTTGGACGATCTCTTCGAAGTATTTGGACGATCTCTTCGATGTATTTGGAGGATCTCTTCGATGTATTTGGACGATCTCTTCGATGTATTTGGAGGATCTCTTCGATGTATTTGGACGATCTCTTCGATGTATTTGGACGATCTCTTCGATGTATTTGGAGGATCTCTTCGATGTATTTGGACGATCTCTTCAAAGTATTTGGATGATCTCTTCGATGTATTTGGAGGATCTCTTCGATGTATTTGGACGATCTCTTCGATGTATTTGGAGGATCTCTTCGATGTATTTGGACGATCTCTTCGATGTATTTGGACGATCTCTTCGATGTATTTGGACGATCTCTTCGATGTATTTGGAGGATCTCTTCGATGCATTTGGAGGATCTCTTCGATGTATTTGGAGGATCTCTTCGATGTATTTGGAGGATCTCTTCGAAGTATTTGGACGATCTCTTCGATGTATTTGGAGGATCTCTTCGATGTATTTGGAGGATCTCTTCGATGTATTTGGAGGATCTCTTCGATGTATTTGGAGGATCTCTTCGATGTATTTGGGGGATCTCTTCGATGTATTTGGAGGTTCTCTTCGATGTATTTGGACGATCTCTTCGATGTATTCGGATGATCTCTTCGATGTATTTGGTCGATCTCTTCGATGTATTCGGACGATCTCTTCGATGTATTCGGGGGATCTCTTCGATGTATTTGGAGGATCTCTTCGATGTATTCGGATGATCTCTTCGATGTATTTGGGGGATCTCTTCGATGTATTTGGTCGATCTCTTCGATGTATTTGGACGATCTCTTCGATGTATTTGGACGATCTCTTCGATGTATTTGGGGGATCTCTTCGATGTATTTGGAGGTTCTCTTCGATGTATTTGGACGATCTCTTCGATGTATTCGGATGATCTCTTCGATGTATTTGGGGGATCTCTTCGATGTATTTGGTCGATCTCTTCGATGTATTTGGACGATCTCTTCGATGTATTTGGAGGATCTCTTCGATGTATTTGGGGGATCTCTTCGATGTATTTGGACGATCTCTTCGATGTATTTGGAGGATCTCTTCGATGTATTTGGAGGATCTCTTCGATGTATTTGGACGATCTCTTCGAAGTATTTGGAGGATCTCTTCGATGTATTTGGAGGATCTCTTCGATGTATTTGGACGATCTCTTCGATGTATTTGGAGGATCTCTTCGATGTATTTGGACGATCTCTTCGATGTATTTGGACGATCTCTTCGATGTATTTGGAGGATCTCTTCGATGTATTTGGACGATCTCTTCAAAGTATTTGGAGGATCTCTTCGATGTATTTGGAGGATCTCTTCAATGTATTTGGAGGATCTCTTCGATGTATTTGGGGGATCTCTTCGATGTATTTGGGGGATCTCTTCGATGTATTTGGACGATCTCTTTGATGTATTTGGACGATCTCTTCGATGTATTTGGTCGATCTCTTCGATGTATTTGGAGGATCTCTTCGATGTATTTGGAGGATCTCTTCGATGTATTTGGAGGATCTCTTCGATGTATTTGGACGATCTCTTCGATGTATTTGGACGATCTCTTCGATGTATTTGGACGATCTCTCAGATCTCCATACTGTGATTGTTGTATTTTTGGTGATGAGCGCACGCGATGACATCACAACATTTGGGGGGGGAGGGGGGTGATGAGTCTAATAATAGCCGGGCTCTGCACCATCTGCTGGCTGTCCAATGGGGACTATCAATGGGTTTTCATGGAGCGCCCCCTTGTGGTGGTCAGTGTGCAGTGCGGCCCGGGATCACACTACTATGGAGTTGTACAGATCTGCCACTATAATAATCAGAGAAATCACAGCCCACCCTGAGGAGCCACCCTGAGGAGCCACCCTGAGGAGCCACCCTGAGGAGCCCACCCTGAGGAGCCCACCTTGAGGAGCCCACCCTGAGGAGCCACCCTGAGGAGCCACCCTGACCCGCTCCCCTGAGGAGGCCACCCTGAGCAGCTCACCTGAGGAGCCCACCCTGATAAGCCCACCCTGAGAAGCCACCCTAAGGAGCCCATCCTGAGGAGCCCACCCTGAGCAGTTTACCTGAGGAGCCCACCTTGAGCAGTTCACCTGAGGAGCCCATCCTGAGCAGCTCACCTGAGGAGACCACCCTGAGAAGCCAACCCTGAGCAGCTCACCTGAGGAGCCCACCCTGAGGAGCCCACCATGAGGAGCTAACCCTGAGCAGCTCACCTGAGGAGCCCACCCTGAGAAGCCAACCCTGAGCAGCTCACCTGAGGAGCGCACCCTGAGCAGCTCAGCTGAGGAGCCCACCCTGAGAAGCCAACCCTGAGCAGCTCACCTGAGGAGCCCACCCTGAGGAGCCCACCATGAGGAGCTAACCCTGAGCAGCTCACCTGAGGAGCCCACCCTGAGAAGCCAACCCTGAGCAGCTCACCTGAGGAGCGCACCCTGAGCAGCTCAGCTGAGGAGCCCACCATGAGGAGCTAACCCTGAGCAGCTCACCTGAGGAGCCCACCCTGAACAGCTCACCTGAGGAGCCCACCCTGAGAATCCCACCCTGAGCAGCCCACACTGAGGAGCCCACCCTGAGAAGCTCACCTGAGGAGGCCACCCTGAGAAGCCCACCTGAAGAGCCATCCTGATGAGCCCACCCTGAGCAGCCCACCCTGAGGAGCCAGCCTGAGCAGCCCACCTGAGGAGCCCATCCTGAGCAGCCCACCCTGTAGAACCCACCCTGAGCAGCTCACCTGAGGAGCCCACCCAGAGCAGCTCACCTGAGGAGCCCACCCTGAGGAGGCCACCCTGTGCAGCACACCTGAGGAGGCCACCCTGAGCAGCTCACCTGAGGAGGCCACCCTGAGCAGCCCACCCAGAGCAGCTCACCTGAGCAGCCCATCCTGGGGAGCCAATCCTGAGCAGCTCACCTGAGGAGCCCACCCTGAGCAGCTCACCTGAGGAGCCCACCCTGAGGAGCTAACCCTGAGTAGCTCACCTGAGGAGCCCACCCTGAGCAGCTCACCTGAGGAGGCCACCCTGAGCAGCCCACCTGAGGAGGCCACCCTGAGCAGCTCACCTGAGGAGGTCACCCTGAGCAGCCCACCTGAGGAGCCCACCCTGAGCAGCTCACCTGAGGAGGCCACCCTGAGAAGCCCACCTGAAGAGCCATCCTGATGAGCCCACCCTGAGGAGCCACCCTGAGCAGCCCATCTGAGGAGCCCACCCGAGGAGCTCAAGCTGAGCAGCCCAACTTAGGAGCCCACCCTGAGAAGCAGCAAAAAAAAAAAAAGGGACATAGTGCCCAACAATCAGGCTGCTCTGTAGTCTAACATTTCCCACACATAGAGGTCCCATAAACAGGACTGGCCATTCAGACTCACACTGACATTGGTAGCACCGAGGGCCCGCGGCCCTTCTGCACCATGTGAGCCAATCTCTGACCATCGCCATACAGCGCCATCTGGCAGCGGGGCCGATATAAGACCACACAGCTATTGGGCTCCCTGAGGGCAGGAATCTGGAAGGTGACCAATGAGCGGATCAGGATGACAGACACCTCACTAGAATACCAGCAATGTGGGGGGGGCCCTTGGTGAGTGAGAAATGTCGGCGGGTTCTGGTCAGTAGGGCCAAAATGTTGTACAAAATGTGACATGACAATAGAATCGGGGGGCGCAGACCCAACATGGGGCAAAGAATCCCACTGAGGTCCCAGCTAAGGACTGCAAAGACAACAAGGAGGACAGTTCTGTCCGGTCTGATGATGGATCACCCCAATGGCACCGCCAGGGTGGGGAGTCTTCTGTGTGACTCTGCAGCCCCTCCCCTCGCCTATGTGACTGTCTCTGCGTTGCCTCACCCCTTGCACCCTCCCCTGAGGATGTGTCTCTACAGCCTCTCACCCCTCCCTTCTTCCGTGTGGGTGTGTCTATGCACCCTCTAACTCCTCCCCTGTGAATGTGTCTCTACAGCCTCTCACCCCTCCCTTCTTCCGTGTGGGTGTGTCTACGCAGCCTCTAACTCCTCCCCTGTGGATGTGTCTCTACAGCCTCTCACCCCTCCCTTCTTCCATGTGGGTGTGTCTACGCAGCTTCTAACTCCTCCCCTGAGGATGTGTCTCTACAGCCTCTCACCCCTGCGGAGTATCTGAGGGGTGTGTAGAGTATTTGAGGGGTGTGCGAAGTATCTGAGGGGTGTGCGGAGTATTTGAGGGGTGTGCAGAGTATCTGTGGGGTGAGCGGAGTAGGTGAGGGGTGTGTGAAGTATCTGAGGGGCGTACAGAGTACCTGAGGGGCGTACAGAGTATGTGAGGGGTATGCAAAGTATGTGAGGGGTGTGTGGAGTATCTGTGGGGTGTGCGGAGCGCCACATTGCACGGCGTCACATTGCGCAGAGCGTCACGTTATGTGGGGCGTCACATTGAGTGCAGCGGCACGTTGCGTGGAGCGTTACATTGCGCGGGGCGTCACTTTGCTTGGAGCGTCACATTGCGCGGGGCGTCACATTGAGTGCAGCGTTATGTTGCGCGGAGCGTTACATTGAGCGGAGCGTCACGTTGCATGGAGCGTCACATTGAATGGACCGTCACGTTGCATGGGGCGTCACGTTGCGCGGGGCGTCACATTGAGTGCAGCGTCACATTGCGCGAAACGTCACGTTGAGCGGAGCGTCACATTGAGCGGAGCGTCACGTTGCATGGAGCGTCACATTGAATGGAGCGTCACGTTGCATGGGGCGTAACATTGCGCGGGGCGTCACATTGAGTGCAGCGTCACGTTGCGCGGAGTGTCACATTGAGCGGAGCGTCACGTTGTGCGGAGCGTCACGTTGTGCGGAGCATCACATTGAATGGAGCGTCACGTTGCGCGGAGCGTCACATTGAGCGGAGCGTCGCGTTGCGCGGAGCGTCGCGTTGCGCGGAGCGTCACATTGAGTGGAGCGTCACGTTGCACGGAGCGTCACATTGAGCGGAGCGTCACATTCAGCGGAGCGTCACATTGAGCGGAGCGTCACGTTGCATGGAGCGTCACGTTGCGCGGAGCGTCACATTGAGTGGAGCGTCACATTGAGTGGGGCGTCACGTTGAGCGGAGCGTCACGTTGTGCGGAGCGTCACATTGAGCGGAGCGTCACATTGAGCGGAGCGTCACGTTGCATGGAGTGTCACGTTGCATGGAGCATCACGTTGCGTGGAGCGTCACATTGAGCGGAGCGTCACGTTGCGCGGAGCGTCACATTGAGCGGAGCGTCACGTTGCATGGAGTGTCACGTTGCATGGAGCATCACGTTGCGCGGAGCGTCACATTGAGCGGAGCGTCACGTTGCGCGGAGCGTCACATTGAACGGAGCGTCACGTTGCATGGGGCGTCACATTGCGGGGAGCGTCACGTTGCGCGGAGCGTTACATTGAGCGGAGCGTCACGTTGCATGGAGCGTCACATTGAACGGAGCGTCACGTTGCATGGGGCGTCACGTTGCGCGGGGCGTCACATTGAGTGCAGCGTCACATTGCGCGGAGCGTCACGTTGCGCGGAGCGTCACATTGAACGGAGCGTCACGTTGCATGGAGCGTCACATTAAATGGAGCATCACGTTGCATGGGGCGTAACATTGCGCGGGGCGTCACATTGAGTGCAGCGTCACGTTGCGCGGAGTGTCACATTGAGCGGAGCGTCACGTTGTGTGGAGCATCACGTTGTGCGGAGCGTCACACTGAACGGAGCGTCACGTTGCATGGAGCATCACATTGAATGGAGCGTCACGTTGCGCGGAGCGTCACATTGAGCGGAGCGTCGCGTTGCGCGGAGCGTCACATTGAGCGGAGCGTCACGTTGCACGGAGAGTCACATTGAGTGGAGCGTCACATTGCGTGGGGCGTCACGTTGAGCGAAGCGTCACGTTGAGCGGAGCGTCACATTGAGCGGAGCGTCACATTGAACAGAGCGTCACGTTGCATGGAGCATCACATTGAATGGAGCGTCATGTTGCATGGGGCGTCACATTGCGCGGGGCATCACATTGAGTGCAGCGTCACGTTGCGCGGAGTGTCACATTGAGCGGAGCGTCACGTTGTGCGGAGCGTCACATTGAACGGAGCGTCACGTTGCATGGAGCATCACATTGAATGGAGCGTCACGTTGCACGGAGCGTCACATTGAGCGGAGCGTCGCGTTGCGCGGAGCGTCACGTTGCGTGGAGCGTCACGTTGCGTGGGGCGTCACGTTGCGCGGAGCGTCACATTGAGCGGAGCGTCACGTTGTGCGGAGCGTCACATTGAGCGGAGCGTCACATTGAGCGGAGCGTCACGTTGCATGGAGCGTCACGTTGCGCGGAGCGTCACATTGCGTGGGACGTCACGTTGAGCGGAGCGTCACGTTGCACGGAGCGTCACATTGAGCGGAGCGTCACATTGAGTGGAGCGTCACGTTGCGCGGAGCGTCACTTTGAGAGGAGCGTCACGTTGCATGGAGCGTCACGTTGCGCGGAGCGTCACATTGAGCGGAGCGTCACGTTGCGCGGAGCGTCACGTTGAGTGGAGCGTCACGTTGCGCGGAGCGTCACTTTGAGAGGAGCGTAACGTTGCATGG